TCTAATCAGAATAATAAAATTACTCATTAACCGAAATTTTTTGACAGCCATTGTACATTTTCCTTACATCAGGTCTTAACATAGACTTAAAAAGATCAAATTCCAAGACTGCTGTTTCTTTCTACTGCTGTCCTATAAATTATATTTATCGCAAACGCAACTTTTTGATTATCTAGTAGAGTACGGATCAAGAATGATCTCCTGTTTAAGTCTTCCAATCAAAGTGTATCTCCAAAGGGTCAACAGATTCTTTATGATGTTACGATGGCCTAACTCTTCTATCATACTTTCTGATATTGCCGCCAGGAATGGAAGTAGAGAAAACATGCGGCCAGTCTTGGAGCTTTTAAAACGATGAAACGATAGGTGGGTAGATGGGTAGGTAGCTGAGTAAGTAGGTAGAAAGATAGGCAGGTACATGACTTGTTGACGCTAGCGTGTAGGTAGATAAGTGTTCACATGTGGTGTACGTACAGTAGACAGTCTGGCCATACCTCGCGTATTAAAGGCACTATTCCATGTCTCGTGTAACCGTCTTATTCACCATTATTTTAAACATAAATTATAAATATACGCGTGCATCTGCAAGGTTTAATTTTCATTTCGATTCCATGCACTTTTATTGTGATAATTGCAAAATCAAATGTATCCTCTTTTTATTAAAATGCAAGTGCATTAATCGATACTTTTACAAACGTCACGACAAACCCTCAAGTAAGATCTTTTGAAAAATTTGTACGCGACAGTTGTACTTAGGAAAGCAGCGTGCATTTTTTAATATCGACTTCTCATAACTAACATCTATAACTCTTTAAGTATACAAATTTTAATCAAATTCTTGTTATGCTACGTTTGACTCTGTAACTTAAAGATAAGGTCGTTGAGGCTACCTTGTTGAGGTACCGTTAGTCGCCAACGGCTAGAGCATATCATCACCGTGAAAAATTCCAATCGCGTAACAGATATCAAGCGCTGAATAATAATGCCTGTCTACAATAAGGTTGCAAGTAAGGTCGTAAGCCGTAAGAAATTAGTCAATAGTTGAATAAGAAAAGAATAATTGATTCATTTTTTACAGCTTAGGACTTGCGACTCTATTGTAGAACAGGCTTTAAAGACCAGAAAAGTCGTCTCAATAGAAACATTGTTGCTGGAATTGTTAAATGTCATTTTTACTGTTTCACGCAAGCCTAAAACACAAGCCTAAAATACAATTTCGATATAATAATTAATAACTGTAGAGGAATTAAAAATATATTTTTATAGTATATAAATGAAAAGTAAAGGGACGTTGTAAGAGTCATATACGAAATAAAATTTAAAAAGTTAAATAAAACGCAACAGTCATGTAATAAAACTTTATTTTACAAAATTCCGAGATATACATTTCTAAATTTTGTGAGATGAAGTTTTATTATACATGACTGTTGCGTTTTATTTAACTTTTTAAATTTTATTTCATATATGACTCTTACAACTTCTTTCCCTTTACTTTTTATTTACGTTTATATCAAGAGTCCTTTACCAACTTGTATATTTATAGTATATGTTATAATATATGAAAGGTCATCTAGGAGTCAGGCGCGGAATTTGATGCGCAACATATTAAAGTTTAATGCGATACAAATAAAATAATCTTACATTTTTCGTTAAATACGAATGGCAAAAACGTTTGTCGTGGGAAGTTCGCTTCAAAATATTCTGAAAAGCTCATTCATATACGATTGACAGATCGAACTATTTTATAGTACATGTTCGCTCTTTTCGTTTTTGTTCTTTTTTGCAAGTAATTAAAGAAATCACAATTTTTTAGTTATGCCACCCACTATCGTAGCAAATATCGTTACGAAAAGCATCAAGTCCTCTTACTCACGCGTTACTTCGAGAAATTCGGAATTTATCGAGTACGTACCATATATAGATAATATGTAAGTGCGCGCCACACGTTTTTTTTCCCACCGCTTTTACGCGGGATGATGACGCGGGACCCTCGTCCTCGGAATTGCGGTTTCCTCATTGCGACAATCCATAATCACGCAACCGCGCCGACGTCCTACGGGACCATTTTTCGCGCGTATCTCGGTAGTGCAGCTGTGTCGGTTAAGCCGCGCGGCATAACTACGCTACCGCGGTACAACTGCACGGCCACGCCCTATACGTGAGGCTACTATCGTGTACCTAACGCGGCGTGCCTCGGCATATCCGCGATTGCGACTAAGACTAAAGCTTATATATTTTCACCGCCGTGCCGCGGTTCATCACGGAATAAAACGCAGCTGCGTTTCGCGAGTTTCGCGTATACGATATATTTCCGGCCTCCCGTGTTATATACAGTGCTCCACGTGGCCGCGCCGCGCGCCGGCCGCGCTTTTATCGGTCAATGACCCGAGAAATGTGAAATCGTACGATCGACTGCAGTTGCGAGTGAAATATCGGGAAGATGCCCATTTTATAGAGTTTTTTTTTTAATCAAATATACTGCATAACAATTTATTTGTACTTTGACTCTTTAATCCTCTTTTTCAATATGTATTATTTTTATAAAAAGTCTTTTTATTCTTTGGTTAATTTGATTATCCCTTTAATTATTTCTTATGTTTTCTCCTTCTTCTTATTATTTCTATTATATTAAAAAATTATTTTATTAAAGAAAGAAGAATGTATATAAACACACGTATGTATATATTTTTTACACATAATTATAAATATTTTTTTTATAAATATTTATATTGTAAATTATGTATGTTCATACACATGTAAAATGTTGGAACTGGTTGTTGGAATACCGATAAAAAATTTTTCATGCATGAATACATATATAATTTTATTTTACATTTATGTCTAATTAAATATTTAGATACTTTCAGCAAAACCACTCTTTCTTATAATATAGTGTTTCTATATAAATTTTAAATACATTTTCTAGTTATATGTAAAAACTGCGATTACTGTCAGACTTAAAAACGCAATTGATCGTAAATTAAATCTAAAATAGTAAGTAACAAATTAAATTGATCATTGATTTAATAACTAAGTTCTTTACATTGTTTTTGAAATGCTTATTAACTAGAAAAAACTTTACGTCTATATAAAAACAGTTTATTGCAAAAAGTATTACAGCGTTTGTAAATTTTTTTTTTGGACCACCTTACAAAAAGCAATTCGTTTTTTCTTAAATCGTTTGAATCTAATAGATAGAGGTGTTTCATGTAATCTAAATATTTTTTAATCTTGTGACATGAATTTTGCCTAAAATAAAAGATGAGTTACCCAAAGCTTTTGAAATTAAAAATTGATTTTAATTATGTTAGAAAAATGACAATAATGCGCTGCTCAAGTATTTTGCAACCAGTTCAAATAGAAAAAAGGAAATGTTATTACAATCTATACCACTTTTGATTTGTCGTGACAAATCAACAAAACAGTTAAACGATAAATTAAATTTGACGATGTCAATTGCTATCTGAAAATGAATGTCATGCTTCCTCGACGTTCACTCGTCGCGTGACATTGTCGTTTGTCTGCCGCGAAACACAGCTTTATCGGTCAGCGAACCGTGAGAACCGTGCGAGATAACAAACGGTTAGGTCATTCTGCGAGAAAACGCAATACGGCTTCGTGTCATAAACCTCGACCCTGAATTTCCATCGGCCATGCCACGTGTATCCCGTATTCAGGAAACAAACGGTAAAACCCGCAGCCAGCTGCTTTAATGAGGGCAACGCGACAAAAGTCACGCTTGTGAAAATGAGGCTGATGGTCGACGCTTAAAAACGACGTGTCCTTCGCGAAAGAGTAAATAGAACACGCATTACGAGAAACCAAATTTGCAAAATCCCGTGTAAACGTATAGAAAGAACGCTAAAGTGTCTGGAAATTTAATTAGATATAAATCTGAAAACACACAATTTTGTTAAACTATTAGAATATAACACAAGTTTATCAATTATTTTCAAATCTAGCTCTTTTAATCTTCTTTTTTTTTTTTTACCCGTTTTTGTACTTTCCAAATTGTGTACCTTCTAACTAATATATATGATAGGACCTTCTATAAATTAAAATTAATATAAAATTCGAGATTAGAATAAGTAATGTTAATTGTGATATAATTTCATGACCCAATTTCTTTATACGATTTCGTATGTCGATTACTAACAGTTGCAATTGATTATAAATTACTCCAAGCCGACCTAATAGAATACATCTGAATATAATTTAACGGTAGCTCTCTGCACTAATTAGTCTTAGTGTACGAAGCGAAAAGCTGAATATGCTTATAGATATTACCAGTGTTGGAACAAATACCGTTTGAAAGGTATTTATAGATATATGTAGATGTAGGTATTGTGTTGGAAAAATTTAGATATAAGTATAGAGATACGTTTTTTTTACCATTACCTAGGATAGATATAGATATAAATAAAAAGTATCTGAAAATTTAGATACTTTTTAGGTCCTTTTAATAAAAGAAAAAAAAATGGAGAAAAACAGGAAAACAAAAAGTAATAAGCAACGTAAATGAAATATCATATTTTATTGGTTTATTTTAATATATTAAAAAATGTCACGATATTTAAAAAAATGTCTCGATAATGTATAATAAAAACATAGGGACTACAAAACATAACTTTACAATGTTACACATCGCAAAACGATTTAAAAGAAGATCTACGTAATGTTACGAATATTTTGAAATCTTTATTTTTCATGTTTTTTTTTTTTTTAAATCAATAAAGTTTCAAACATTGTGTCGAACAATCGATTTCTTCTTAGAGTTAAAATTTGGCTACCTGCACTGAACAGCCTTTCAATAGGTGTTGACAGAATAGTATTATACTGTCTTACAGTATTAAATATCTATATGGAAGTATATATGGAAGTATATAGATATACATACATATAGAAGTATATACATCAAACCCAATTGCAAAGTCGTACTCACGTTGTGAGCATCGATTCAATAGTTAGGCTAATGCCCATAAATGTAGAATGTCCTGTAGTGCTGCAATAGAAGGTGCACTACATGCTGCATCACCATTAGGTGACAGACTTTTAACCGCAAGTGGCTCGAAAGAAGAGAGTAAGACGCAGAATGTGCTTAGTGCTTACACAATTGCCGATCCAGCCGTAAGAAAGAAACATTGGACTGACTAGGCGGTTTATGATCTGGTGTTGGACACCACTTTCAACTATTGTACTTCTCAAGTCTACAATACATCGCTGCAAAAACAGTTTTGACAATCATCGGTATCATAGGATACTTGTAATCAGAAGTTACACAGAAAAATCGATTCTGTCAAAGGGTCTAAAAATGTAACGCTATAGATAAACACAGATCTGAAAACTAAAAATAAAACTGAAAATAACTATAAATACAAATCTAATAATAAACCTTTTTGGATCATTAAAATAATTACGTAGGAAATTCAAATAAAACAAGCAATAATGCAAAAAATTTATATTTTTTTAACATTCCAGTCGTCAGTTTGAACGTCCTACATAATTATTTTGATGGTCCAAAGAATCCAAGACAAAGCCCTATGATCACAATGGCAGTTATAAAAGAAAAAAAAGTACCTGACCCTTCGTACAAAAGCGAACCTGCTAAAACTTGCTTCACACAATTCAAAGGCACCTGGAAACCTATATGAAAAGTACATTCACGCACAAAAATACGTAGCTTAAATTCTTATACAAACGGTTCCCTTGGGAAAAATTACTTTAAATAAAGTTAAGATTTTTTTAATTAATTAAAAGTTTACTCTTGAAATATAATATTTTGGAGTAATTTTTAAAGTGTATAAAAAAGATTAATTCAAGAAGAATGTTGAAGTATTTCAAGATTGACTTTAAAATAATCCTAAAAAGTCGGAAGTTTTATTATTTCCATTGCATCTGGAATACTTAAAGTGGTTTTGAATTTCAAAGTAAGTAATGTTAAACTGACATAACATTTGTCGTGACTTTGCCACCAGATGAACGCGACATTGCATTTTCTCGTAAGATCAATATAGAATAGAATAAAAAACAACAGCATTTTATATCAGCAAAATATCAAGTAATAACATTTTAATAAATTCGAAAACATTATATCAGAGAACAACGAAAGTTCAGCATAGAATTAAAAAATAAAGCATGAAATGTGACAATTGTAAACAATAATTTTAATAACAAAAACGCAAATAAAAGTTAAAACAAACAACTAAAATATAAAACATAAAATGTATAAACAGACGTTCCGACCTCGCTTGGATCATTTTCAATGTTTAAACGTATAAAATTTATATGATATGTTGATGATGTGTTGATATTTATTTTTTACAAATTTTAGATTTCTCCGTTTTTCTTTTTGTTCTCTTTAATAATAAATTTTAACGTTACTTTAAACAAAAGTTTAAATTCACAGTTGTATTTCTTATATTTTCTGTTAAATTTTCTCTACAGTAAGTTTAAGATTTTTTTTTTAAATGTTCAGAGGTAAATGTTTCAAGGTTTTTTTACAGTTAAAATCACAAGTGTTACAATGTAATTTCTGTTAAATTAAATATGGATAAAAGAAAGTATAACGGCATTTTTATTTAACGCATCGTTGAATAAGAGACCGTTATGTAAAAATAAATCTGAAGAAACGGAGAAATGCTTATTATTTCGATGCTGCGTTGATGTCAACCGGAAATTATATCACGCCTTGTTATATAGAGAACTAAATTTGCGCTTGCCAATTCATCTAAGACGTAGACGCGATTACGGTAATACTAAAATAATCAGGCCATGTAGTTCCATTCACTAAGAAACACAACGGCGTGTAAAATTCTCACGGAGCTACAGCCGGGTGCGTTATTAAGCTTTACGTAAAGGGTAACGACAGAGAGATGTCTTTCCGCGATACTTTAATTCAATTCTTTCTCTATCTCGTCTAACAATCAATTTCGAAACTGCGTCAAACTGCAGTGTAGCATCTGCCAATCTTTTCATAATAACACATACATACTTATACTCTGTTAAGAATTACTCTGTTTACAATTACAATGCAAGTATTTGTATAAAAGAGATTTTTATATAAAATCTCATTTGTAAAAAAAGTAAATAATAATTAGCAATTTATTAATTGATGAATACGTTTTGTCCTAAATACAGACAAAAAAATTTTTCGAAAATAAATGTTCGTAGTCTCTTAGAAGATAAACCTGTTGACTGTATTTTGTCATTAAGTCATATTATAGATACAATATTTTCTTTTACTTATTATTAAGAATACGAATATCTTACTTGTTACATTATCTTTTTAGGTAAAATAATTTTGAGAAATAAATAATCTATTTTATTCTTTACTAAATTGCTAATGTTTACTTTTTTAAATAATTTATTTTTCTTTTAAGAAATTTTCCTCGTATATATTAGGTGTACAACTTTGCTCCCGCCGTTTTTACAGGTATAAATTTATACCTGTAAAAGCGGCGGGAGCAAAGTTGTATTACTTTTTGCGCTCACAAAATACATAAGTACGTATAATTTTATATTAGATAATATATTTTCATATACACATGATATTTTTTATATTGTTTTATATTGTATATTTAAAAGAAATAGTTGTGTGAATCGCGAAAGAAGTGACAACAATGCTGTACCGTCATATTGTGGGCTTCACTACGTATAACATGCAGAGATAATAATTACGAGAAGCATCTTTCGAGGACATACGTGGGTTGAATTCAAGTTTGGTATCACGACGTATCGTTTACCAATTTTGTCATCCTCGAACGGATATATCCCTGATGAAATATATGGAGGAAGCCGGAAGTGGTTGGCGGACAATGAGCAGCGGTATTTCATTCGTGATATCTGTATTTGAATAATATTTCTAGTTAGCCTTTCCTTTCCCTTCTCGAGTCGGTGAACTCAACCGTAGAAAACGATCTTCGTTCATCGTAAAATAAGTCTGTAAATCTCAATTGTCGTTGAAGTTCCATTATATGTGCAGGCTGTCTAAAGGAAACGGAATAGGAGGTACATTTACTCGCAAAAATTTTTTTTTTAATTGGTTTAGATAGCGTCATGAACAATGAGCACAATATTCATACTTTACAAATTTATTCATATTTTATCTTAAAATTTTAGATGTAATAATTTTATTAGTAAAGAAAGGATAAATATAATTTAATAATAATACACTCTCAGAGAAAAAAGTCGTATCATATTTTCTTAGTTTAATTAATTAATTTATTATTCCTATTAAAACTTATTTATAACATATTGTTATAAATTTTTACATGTGCAGATAACTTCTAGGAATTTTAAAAGTACTGAATTTTGGTACTCAAAACTGTATTGTCAAGAAACTAATCTCTTATTTATATTTTTGTCTTCGAAGTTTGAACCAATGTTGCACATTTTATGTATGCGGAATGGTTTTCTTCATAGGAGAAACTGAACTGCACTGTGTTCTTCTAGTGATAATGTTCGTGGCTGAACAGAATTTAGTAAAATGTTTCGAATATATCTTTTAAAGTTACTTCAGCATGAGAGATTATCATAATTAGTTACTATAATATAGTATAGTCTATCTAAAAAAAATATAATTGTTATGTTTTATTTTTATGAGATCTAAGTAACTATTTTATACGTAGTTAAGATACTATTTCACTATCAATTGATAGTATATATAAGAATGTTGTCGTAACTAAATTTTTACAGTGTTGAGTAGATACTAGATAAGTAGCTATTATCCTATAATAATAGTTAAAGATACTATAATTGCAAATGTTGCTAAAAAATAGTTGCCACAACTATTTGTTTTCTTTTTCAGTGTGCAAATAAACATCTTAAAACCTGCAAAAAATTTAATCTGATTTTATTAATCTAATCACTTTTTAAACTTATTTCACTAATAACAAAGATTGTTAAAACAGCTTCTTCATGTTACATTTCCATTTTCTTCAAACACTGCGAGTCTTAAATGAGAATTCTAATTCAATACCAAGAAATTACACGTGAGAATAAGTACAACAAACAGGAAAGAAATATCGCAATTTACTATTGGTAACAGTAAATAACGGTGATTTAACATAAATCGACATTATATTAATGACACTACAACATGTTATTAGATATCGTTGTTATTAAACATCGACAGAGAAATGATAAAATACACGTTTTTCTGGGAAATTCGTTATAATCTCATACTTTCAGATAGTTACAAAAAAAAGCACCCTGGGAAACGAGTCTCTTTGCGAAATCCGACGGAAGTGAACCCGGGAATAAAATAAAAAAGTGCAATTAAACAGTGACGTTGATTCAGCGTTACGTATGTGTGTGTGTATAAAATTATATTTCTCTCAGTTACGCGTGAATCAAACAAATATCGCAGTCATTATTATAATTACGCTTCATAATTGATCACGACGTAAGGATCAAGATAACCTGGCCCAGGATCCAGTTAGAAAGTATGTTTGGAGTGTTATTGCAATTACAATGATGCGATCGTTTTCTGGTAACACAGAGAGAGAGAGACCGTTATCCGGCATACTGCGCGAGAAAATAAATAAATTTGTCCACAACTCTGATTGCCTCACGCATTTATCAGAATTTAAATTACATGCTCCAGAATATCATGATTACAAAATAATGCATTACGACGATCTTTCTATTTCTCGGATAATTATAAGTATACCATCGGCACGAATTTTTCAGAAGTTACACGTAAATCTGACTTTCGGAGTTCGCGATGGATCTATTCGATTCATTCAATTATAAAGTATTTTGTCAAAAATTCAATTTACTTTCTATTTGCAAATTTGGATTATTCTTATTAGAATATTGTATATTTAGTATTCATTTTAATTGTTACTTTGTCTTGGAAATTAACCCTTTTAATTAAGTTTTTATTGCCTTTTCGGTATAGTATACCTGGCTTTATTTTTTCAATACTTTCCCAATGCTTTCTTCATTATTTACTTTTTTATTCATAAAGATGTATACGTCTGCTTGATACAATTACAATTCCTTAATGTCTAGCGTTTTAACGAAAGAACATTTTACAATATGTTTATTTTTATGAATAAGCGATTGAATGGAATTCCACAATCAATAGCTATTTATATTATTTATGTCACGATTTTCATTATCCGAAGAATTGACCGAGGTTTATCCGATAAAAGTTCGTCCGTTCGAATGGTGCAATCCGTGAGCCGTTCCTCAGCACCGAATTATTCGCGTTCCTTCACGCTCGACTTCACCTCGGAAAGCCGCGTTCGAACGAGTCTAGGAGTCATTGCTCGTTTTTTACACGCACCGTTTCGTGCCGCTCAACAGGAAGCCCGAATACTTTCTAGCGCTGACCTAGGATCCAGTCCAGTTCTAGCTGTAACTCTCATGGGATTCAGGTTCCGACTCTCCAGCCTTTTCCTCAATCTTCGATCTACGCACAACTACCTCTTTTATTTTATGCACAATTAGCAATTAACACATGGCGCCATCGATCAGTTTCCTCTATTCAAACATTTTACAGTCTGTCCTATATAGAGAAGCTAAGCAACTTTTCGTTCTTATAAGTACTCGTGCACAACTAACAACATGGCGGTTGTTTAGTAGTATAATCAAAGATACCAACCCAGAGCGACCCTATAAGTACTGTTCTTATTTTTATACTACGTCGGCGGATCCATTTGTTCGCAAGAAATAAATATAAACCACAGGAAGCAAACCGGTTTAACTTCTCTGATTACTATCAACCACGAATCTTTTTGAGAACACAACTCGAAGGACACCAGCTCGATTCCATTTTGCCGATTTCGTACGTATCATGACTGTAAAAAGACGCAGGAGCAGGATAAACGTGCACCTATACGGATGGATAATCGTCGACGTTTCTTTGGAAGAGACACTTCATTTACATTTATATACACACATACGGTTATGACGAGCATCCGAATTCCCTGATAAACCGTTATAATCGTCGGGGATCGGCTATCTCGAACGCGCGAGGCAGTGGGGGGCATATCAGACATTCAGCTCTCACCACAGGAACATTTTCTACCGATGACAACGTAATCACGAATAATCGTAATCCTGTCGCGATCGGTCCTAGTCGATAGGATACTTCCTGCCGATCGTAAATCTAACGGGTTTCGAATTCGGATATGTATAATATACGATCGGTTCGTCTGAGGCGACGTGTTTATGCAGGGCCGGTTTAAGGAATTCTTGGCCCAGGGACTGAAGTGTAGTTCTTTTACAAATTCCTCGTTAATTCAATCTATTGCGTTCTTCGACAATTTACTGTTAATTGACAATGATCTTAGTTGTTCTCTTAATTCAGTTGGAAGCCGCAGACACGAGAGGGCTCGCGCCACTCTTCGCACAATGTGACTCTCCAAAAAGATGGGGCCCCCGGGGCTACAGCCCCCTTAGTCCCCCCCCTCTTAAGCCGGTCCTGTATTTATGTAAGAGCATTCGCATAAGACTTATTTCACACAAATTAGCTTCTTCTACTCAACAACAATTATAGAAGTATGTCACGAATCAAAGCAGCAGGGAAGCGATCTGTTATCTTTGTGAATAAAAATTCATTAACCAATATACACTTGATTAGTACCTAACAGTCGAAAGATTAATAATTTAAAAAAAAAAATACGAAAAGTTATTAAAAAGTTATCTTCTTCGATCGTTCTTTGATTCCCTCTACACTCTAAAAAAATCTAAAAAGTATAACGTGTATTTAACGAACTTTAACTATATTGGTTAAATGTATAGCTAACTGTACCAATAATTAATTAGCTGTACATTTAAATAAAAATATTCTCATTTTATCTTAATTATTTCTCTAAACACATTTTTTCATATTTTTTTCATATTTCTTACGAGTATTATAGTTGTAACTTTTTTCAACGTGACGATTACTACGATCGACCAAAATGTTGAGAGGCCACGATCACATGTACGATTAAGAAAGAATTCTTGCACGAGCTCACAACGTAATCGGCATCTTTGAAACTGAAGAGTCCTAATTACACCAGACTGCTAATTAAACGCGGATGCTCGTGGCAGATCGCACGGCCGCTTGCTCCAGTTAAGCGCGGGGCACAATTATGACGATCCGCGGACGGACAATGGCATTTGTTGCAGCGGCCGTACAACCGCACGAACTGCAAAATATAATAAACTTTCGCGATCCGTATGCCACGTAAACGACGGTGTACCGTGAAGCGCACGGGGATCGCTTTCCAGCACTTCTCACGAGTTCGCTCATCTACGATACGCCTCGCGACCGTTGCGTCACGCGTCTACCCACAATTGCTTACGATGTGGAAAACGCAGCTGTGGTAATACACGCCTGCTCTGCTTTAATCACTATATTACGTTTTCTTATTCTGTTTCCTTTTTTTTCAATTTGGAATCTACTAAGGGCTGCTATAAACATAGATATATATATATATATATATATTTATAATTAGATTTCGCTCGTTTTTTACAATGCAAAGTATAAAGAAAAAACGAGCGGTAATAAGATTTTTAATTAATAAATTTCTAGTTTATAATATTACTAAGAAACAACACATAAAATAAAAATAATAATATCGAATGTTTCGGAATTTTTATATATACAGATCCTTCTTCAACGATTCATAAAGATACGTTTCGATGTCGACGAGATAAACGCATAATTAAATTTACATTACTTTTAGATTTCGAAACTTGGAACAAGCAATTTTGTGATTAGCTTAACTTATATTTGTAGTGCTGTAAATAATTAATTAGAGATGCACTGAATATCCGGGAAGAAGCAATTAAGATACCGGATATTTGCCAAAGAGAGAGAGAGAGAGATCCGGTATTATATTTCTAAAGAATATTGTATATAGTGCAATAATAAAACTTTTTAAGTATTTGTATTGTTATGTATTATACACAAAATTTCACTAAAATTTTAGCTGAATATATTGCCAGAAATCAGATATCGAGCAATCCTTTCTACTATACACATCCAAGGAATACAATTAATATTAAAACACAATTCTTTTTTCTTCTCGTCTGAACAATTAATGAAGTGCCATTTGACTACCAGAGTTGATTGCCAAAGTTACAGTATAACTTTTTATAAATCTTATGCTTTAAAAAGCATAAACGTAACAAAAAACGTAACAGACATTTTATTTTTATAAATATGACAAAATTAAAGATTTCCTTTTTTAAATAGAATTATTTATACAAAAATTACATTAAAAAATTTGAAGTAGTTGCTAAATAGACGGTGGTTATTCAGTTATATAAAGCTCTGAAAAGAGAGAGAAAACTGTAAGAAAACGAGTCGCAACAGGATATACTGTTCCATTCCATTTTCGGGATCGAATTTTTGACGACTCTTTTAGACTCGCCACTCCACAGGGCAAAAGGGTGCGACATATTTGCGAGACACACGAGACAAATGCGGAATAGCAGCGTGATTGATACCCACGTTGGGGTTGTCGTGATAAAAAATAATTTGCTAGTCCGGAGTTAATAGACACAGGTGCGCAGTACAGCGTAACGTCATCAATAATAATCCTCGCGACTCTCTGGCGATGTGGCGACGGTTATTGCGGCACTCGGTTACGCAGGGCGAGGTATGCAGTCGCTGTGCGCCACAATTCAACCATATACACGCACATATACACGCGCGCGCGCAGAAAGAGAGAGAGAGAGAGAGAGAGATAGACCGTAAGGAATTTTATGGGAGCGGGTGTGTATTCGACGGCGTGCAGTAACGACGATACCTTCCGCGTTCTTTCGCGATTATGACGAACGTTCGATGAACGCGAGGAAAAAAATGTGGTTGAATTTCTCGACTATGCGCCGCGATCCACCGGTACGACTCGCGTGTCATAAACTTGCAAAATCGTAAATCTGCTGCGACGAAACGTACAAAATTGTTGCATCGCTAAATGCGTCGATAACGCCATTTATAGTCCACCGACGAGAAATTCCGAAAAAGATTGAAAGAGTTTCGAGAGAGATTATACGCACCCTGCCTCCGTTACTCCATCCGACGATATCGTACAATCGTTTAATTACAGCCGTACGACACAAGATCGACGTCCATTTAAGTAGAATGTCTTGTCTGTTGCAGAAATATGCTGATAAGAGAATTGGCGACCGTTTGGGTCGCCGTCCTCTTGTGCCATCTTCAGCTAACGGAGTCTCAGGTAAGCGTTCAAGTATACACTGTTAAAAATTTAATATACCTTCAAGTTACTACACAATTTAAATTCAATTTCACGACATTACATTAAATTTAATGTATTTATAAAAGAAAAACATATTTGCGTACATGTGTACATAAAATTGAATGTGTTTATCATGAAACTTTACGAAATTTGTTATACTTTTCATAAAATTTTATGAAATTTAATGTACACGCTCGTTACATTTAAGTAGCTACTGTAACTTAATTTTCAATTAAATCATTCATTATTTTTAATTTCGTTCGTAATTACGAGCTTCATTTACATATGTAAAGGAAGCATTTCTAACAGTACATGATATCGAGTCAGAGTTTCAACATCTTCCAGGATATATCGGCCTTATAAATTCACTAAATGTTCGAATATTACTTATAACAAAAGAAAGGTATTGCGTTAAAATATTTAAAAAATTTAGTCAGATACAGATTAGAAAATAATTTTGTTAAATCATCAAAATAAATCTGTAGCCTTTTGGCTTGATTAATTTATATGTACAGCATAATTAATTCGGAAAAATTATTTTAAATTAAAATATCACTAAAAGTGACAGTATATAAAAGTTTTCGAAAATATAAATTATATTAATATATGTTTACATTAGTATAAGTTAAATATAAAAAAAAAACATGAAGAAGATTTATGAAACAGAAGTGGAAAGTGTACGTCCTACTGCCCCTGTAAGGGTTAAAAGTTAACTACGGCTATTATCTACTGATATTTACAATCATCTCCCATATTACACGTAGTACATTGTGCAAAAGAATTTTGAATTAATCATTTGTCTATATTATACCATCACCTTTTCCGTGACCCAATTATTGTTTCATATCTCTTTCCTCGATAGAAAAACACAAATCATGTGATGAAATCTTGCATAAAATTTGTAACTTGCAGTTACATAGGCATATTTACTAAAACAGATGTAGTCATTTATTTAAAAAAAAGTTAAGTTTTAAAAAAATTGTTCAATAATTGAGAAAAATATGTGCGTGTAAAAATAGTTATACATTTTCTTTTTATAATGTCATTAGTTGCCACCAATGAGATATAAAACCCAAAATTAGCCTCGAAGCTGCATTTTTCAAGGAATTATGCAGAGAGAAAGCAAGACAAAAAAAGTGATTTTTCTCATATAAACGACTGCGACCGAATGTAATGAAAAAAATATATGTTGTAGACATCGTTTACGCATCACCTAAACGCAACTATTACCTGCGTGAATTTGATCAAATGATCCCGACCAGCTTTTAACACAGCTGTGTTCCGATATTCGCTGCCAGTTCTGAAAATCAATTATAGTTCATCGACATTACGTGTACTACAGATTTTCAGCAGTGGCAGCGAATTTCGGAACGCAGTCACAGTCACGGTCGGTGTAAACAGGAAGAATCTAAGTACTCGCAGCGAAAGTAATTTTGTCTGTGACAAGGAAAAAGTTGCACAGAGCCTATCACGCCGCGCGCCGGCAGGTGAGGCGGTCTCGGTCAAGAAGAAAACACGCGCGATACGAGCCCTACGTCGAGATTCTTGCAAGTTTCCACTGTGGATTATGAAGTAATTGGTATGTCGGCGGCGGCGGCGGCGTGGAGGCCGACTCTCCGTAGGAGTTAGCGGTGTCAGAGTTCGTTTCCACGAGATATCGCATATGTGAGGTGAAAGTGAATTTCAATGCACACACCGAGCGCCGCACGTGTGTACGACGTGGCTGATACGCACGCCAAGGTGCCGCACACAGATGCAATATCTTGACTACAAGAACTGGCCCGATATATGAGGGAGAGAGAAGGGAATGTAGCAAGAATGCAAGTCCGAGGCAAAACGTTTCTGCATAACGCCTTGACGAGGCTCTCTCGAGAAGCGAAACGTTCCTCTTTAAACCCAACTAAATCTGTCCAAAACAATTATGATTGTAAAAAGTGTAAATCGCTTTGCAGAAATGCAAGATGGGTGCGCAAACAAAATTCAGAAAAATCTCTCTAAAATAGATTTTAATTCTTCTATATTACGTTTACTTTCCATACTTCTTTTTTATCAATATTTTTTCATTATAATAATTTAATAATTATACACTTTTTTCCCTTAAAACTCCTACGAGGTTTTATTGCGTTTCGTTGCATAATTACCTAATAGACATATAACATATTTCACGACGTCGTAAAATTGCTCTTATCGTAACATGTTACAAAGAAATAACTTCGAGTTGCGTGTGTGGCACTCGAGGACTCGATTTTCAAGCGTATTCGTGCGCGCGGGAATGCGAGGGCGCAGCCTTTCTATACATCTAATACAACTCGCACCTCTCTCGCAGGAATGTAGTCACCGTTATATCACTGATACGCACGCATAGCAACGTCGAAATATACGTGTATGTATATGGACGAGAACGCATCCGAGCCGCTCTCGTGGAGTAGCGGGTACTTTCCGTGCTCTTGAGAGACGGATGCGAGAAACGAAGATCGTTGGACAGATTGCATCTTCACTTTCTCCCGCCGCATAACAATGTGTCTAGCATGTCTTGGTCTAACTGGCGCCTTTTCACAGTTAAATTCGACACGCAGGACTTCCATTTGTGTGAAGCAATCCCATACAAAAATGTAAAATTTACGATCTTGGTCGCCGAAGTCCCATTGATCGATTGGTATAAGAAATATATTTGTAGCAAAAAATTTATGATATAATATTTTTGTTACCTATTTATTTCAGTTTGCCGTATATGAAAAGAATAGTTTTTAAAATAGATATTTAACTAGATAGATCTAAAAATAATCTTATCAAATTATCAAAATAATAAATAAAATATATATTAGAAAGTGAGAGTAAAATAATGTCTATACGGCTGGAGATGCGTTAATCTAGAAAATATTTAATTTTCCAAAAACTATATATAAAAAATTATTATAATATCAAAATAATGATGTAGGACGGTGAAACTACAGTGAATAATAAAATTATATTAGTGCCTACATAAGTTAACAATTTTATGTCGAAGCAAGTAATTTTTAAATATAAACATAAGTGTTGAATTATGATTAATTAACTTGTTTTATGTATAGAGAAGACTTAACATTTGGGCAAAGATCTTTCTCCAAAAAACGTTTCTAAAATAAAATATTTAATAATAAATACTGGACATTATTATGTGTACAAACTTTCTATTCTTTATATACAGGGTGTCATTAACCGATTAAATCGCCTATTAGAGAAGAGCGAACTGAGTCGAAAACTTAGGTCGAACAAACGCATTTATTTGGCTACCTTTAAGGTCTAATATCTCGTTAAATATCACGTAAACTGCAAAATGGTACAAGACTTTTTGACTCACTTCAATTTGCTTTCAACTTAACAATTCACAAAAGAATTTTATTATTTTTATTATTATTTGTTAAATTTTTCATGACAATGACAGTTTGTCTTACTAGCCAATAATTTACGAGTTTTTTTTTTAATTTGTATTATATACGAACTCTATATTTATATATCATTGATACTATACTGCAATTTAGAACTCAGATAGCAACTATAATTCAATTTATGATCAAGCGTTAACTATTAGTGTTATGTAAACGTGCTTTATTCTGTGTTGCAGGTTCCTACTACAAATGTGTTTACCTGTCCAAACGGTAAGTAATAACATTCACTCGTAGACAGTAAAATTTAATAAAAAATAGTACTAAAAATAAATCTTTCCTTTTTTTCCGAAAGATTATGTCCGGTATTTGTAAATTTATCTATTCAGACAAATTTAAAGATAATTCTTCAGTACGATTTAAAATTACTCGTTAAAAGAGCACGAGAAATTATTTTAAACGTAGAAGTACGCTAATTGTAAGTAATTGTAAAAAAATTAAAATATTATATTCTAATTAAATATCTATATATGACTCTCATGTGTTGCTTTCTATTACTATAAACTAACTTTAATTTAGTCTTTAGCGTTTTATAATTCTAAGAACTCTGGTCTCTCTCTCTTTCTCTCTCTCTCTCTCTGGAGAAAAATAAAAAAGTAAGTTAATCCAAAAGTTAATCTACATTCGAAACGGTCATCAGACGGTTGATTTATGAGTAAATCCCGCGAATCCGATAACAGAAAGTACGACGCAAGATAATGTGAAAGTTGCTCCGCAATTACTTTTTTTTAAACGAACTTTATAAGTTAATCCAGACATTGTAGAAATCGCCATTCACGAGGCAGCCAACTTACCATATATTAGATCAATCGGAAAGTTCCGTCCATCTTGCGGCAAGTATCTATAGCTAGAATTGTCGATAACTCTAATGTCTAGATCAATAAAATTCAATATATAAAAGTATAATACGTTTGCATCAATAACATAAAACGGTTTTTCTTATAAATAACAAGATAAACAACCCGAAATTCTTTGAACTGTTTTCACATAATTAATCACTTTTTAACACAATATTATGTAACTCTTTCATTATTCTATTCTAGAGTTTATTATAGAGTTTTCTTTGCCTTTTTATTCACTCTCTTTGTCCGACAGCCTACTTTTTTTTTTTTTTATTATATCGCATTTTATGGTTATACCGGTAATGCCACTGTATTGCACTGTATTATGCGATGTTTCATCATTTTCTGTTTCTCGAGATAAAAGTTGAGGAATTTCTAAAGAGACAAAAGAGATAAAAAAGCAAGAAACAGGAAACAAAAAGCACATTATTGTAGAATAGCTATGATATATAAAGAAACTTTATGGTAGTAAAGCACGACTCTATTATAAGTGACAATTCGATCGTAAAAAAGGAGTTCGTTTATTTTAACTCGTTTCTTATTAGCGAGAATTTTTGTTGCAGATACAGTGACAGATAGTTTTGCAGGATTAATTCCTTGCGTCTTTATATAAAAATATTATCTTTGCCCGCATGGCGCACAGTACAATGCAAATAAGGGAAATCAACGGAAGATTCCTTCTTTTTTTTTTTTACTAGGACGCGTCGTTACTTACATTTAAATCACACAGAAACGCTTTGAATCACAAATCGCACGCCGACAATTATTCCTCGCTCCGGCAGTAGCAAAGTTTCGACAATGAAACAAGTATACGCATGTCCGGTAAATAAATCTCATAAGAGACAATGAGAATAAGAGTTCGGCCATTCGTAACACTGCTCCACTTTTCTTCGTTTACTCGCCGATGCAATTAAGTAGGTTGCACGTACCATATGAGGCCGATTGGTCGCTAGCCATAAGTCGTTGCGTGCGCCTGAAAAATTGCAAGTGCTATTTTTTCCGTGTTTTCTATTTTCTCGTTCTTTCTTACTTCAATTAATCGACGATTCATTCGTTCACACCTTCGATCTCATAATAACTGCAACATTGCGAAACGATTTCATATCGAGACACCGAGAGATTGTTTTGAATAAATATCATTAACATTAAAAAGGATGTCGACAAAAAATATCATTCAATTTAAACGATAGCAACAAATAAATATTATTTAACTTTAAACGAATATATTTCATTTAATATTAAATTAATTAAACAAAGAATTTTTAACATTGTGAACAAGTAAATAAATATTATTGAACATTATACTAATAGTTAAACATGACCCTATTTAATATCATAGAATAAAAAATAATTTTTCAGAATTAAAGTAGATCAAAGTAAATCAAAATAGAATTTTTATTTCAGAAAATAAATCTTGTATTCTAATATACATATTTAATTAATATGTTAATACATTACGTTAATTTGATAATGAGAATAAAATCTACATTCTAAAAACATGACTCTCTATTTACATAAATATTAACATTTTAAGCGTTCTGGAATTCATTGCAAAACATATGTCTCTTTAGTCCTCATTCGTTCAGCATTTTTTATATTTCACATGTTAAGTGCATGGACCTTCGAAAATACAATATTATTTAAGATGCAAATAAAGAATATTAAATTTCAAATTAAGATCTCGAAATTTGAATCGTACCACACATCAAGCCAGATCAAACTTTACCTTAATCTATGACGTTTAATGCCAGCAAGGCGAATTGTATTTAATGCAGGTGGAACCCTGTATTTAAAGGCTGAAATTTTCGATCCACCTGACGCACGAATCGATATATGAAGATGAACGTATCAGGTAGATTCAGGTAGATCGATTCAGGTAGATTCAGGTAGACTCAAAGGTATAGGACGGCATTCCTGGACCCGCAAAAATTCCACAGCGGCCATTTTCTCTTTCAATCACCTCCTTCTCGTCTACTCCAGAAGTATCATTGAATCGCCCACCTCAGGCCGTCGGCTCTAAAAATTGTACGTCGACTTTTCGCATTTCAAGCGCAACGGTTGTACATTCGCACCTTGGAGGAAACTCGACCGAGAGCACCGTCGAACGGGATTCCAAAAAGTAGAACATCCGGCAACTTGCTCACTCATCTGTTCTTACGCGATCATCCGTCTTACTCCGCACGCGCGCATACCATACTTCTCGCAAGAAGGCTTTTGCTGAAAAAAGAAAACGAGGAAACGAAGATAGAGAGGCTGCCTTTCCGCATACTCGCGTCCCAAGTCCCAACTATCAAGTCAAAAGATTGTATCATTCATTTTCTAGCTCATCTTTCGATTGTCACTAGTTTTGCTCCAATTTCTTTCGTATCTAAAATATATTTCATTGAATACTAAATATCATCGATCACAAGGTCAATTTTATTTCACATATTTCAAATAGTTGGAAAATTTGTGAATGAACCATTTCCAACACAAATAAGTAATGTTTTCTACTGTGTGCACCCAAATTTTCCTATTAATTAATTTTAACACTAAAAAATGTTGAATATCAATTTAGAGCAATATATTCAAATAACACAATCATATTATACTAAATTATATAACACTCATGAACATGTTAAAAAATCAACACAAAAATTTTAGCAAAGACCAGATTTAACACAATATAGATATAGATATTTTTGTTTAAAATGCTCGCTCTATATATTTCAATCTACATTTTATAATAGCGGAATGTCGAGATTTCCTTTATTTTTCAAATCAACTGCGATGCATCATTAACACAATATTACACTATCATTGGTTAAAATATCATATGTATCTCGACCGCCGAAAGAAAATTATATTTACACGATCTTCGGACGAGAAATGCTCCTAATGGACGTCGAGAGAATCATATATGCGTGCATGACCATTTGACCTTTTAAAAGAAAGGAAGGTCGTCATCGTGTCTGTCCCAACGAATAACCCAACGTCGACTGCATCAGCAATATGACTCTGAGTGATGCTGCGTCTTGTTTCTTTTCCACGCAACTTGTGTGTTTAAACAAAATGCAAAGCATTTTTAATTCCGTATAATCTTCTGTTTCATTCAGCACTAGGAGAGGAAAAATAATTATAATATCCGTCAAAAATAAAAATAAAATAAAACATTAAATATTATTTTGTTTATAAAAATAATTGCCTAGAAATAGTGCTAATCTATTTCGATTGGAAAATATTCAGCTACGGAAGAATTCCCTGAGTATTTATATACATATGATACTTGTTATTATCATTTAATAACAAGCAGAAACTATCAGTAAATAACGTGAATTGGATAATTATATGGATAGAAATAGACAATTTTTTTCAAATTCTTTAAAATCTATTTAAAGCTAGAGAGAGCTTTGAGTATCTATTTAAAGCTTAGGAAATATAAATTAGTTCTACCTGGTAGCATTATTATTTTCTGAACAAAAAAAAACAATACGCTGTTTCGTGTTCGCTTTATTGTATTCAGATAATTATACGAAATATGTTGTACCTTCTCGTGGATCGAAACGTCGAAACGTTACTAACAGCTCATTTACATGGCGTGTTCAGAGATTCTACAGAATACAATACCACTTGTTATACAACAAGATTCTGTCTAGGGGTGCGTTTCGTTTCTCGCATGGTGAGATGCTGGATCGCAAAAGGTCCTGCGCCCTCTGTGCGCTTACCTCGTTCGATATCCGTGACCTTCTTTATCGATTTAATCGCGCGATCGATTGGCGATCGATTATCTATCATTTTTTCCGCGTCCTCTCTGACTCTCTCTCTCTCTCGACTTAATGGCGGATTGTACGACGCGCTGTGAGTAAAGGTAAAGACTAAAGTCAATTTCTGGCCACGATAATCCGGCTTTACCGGAACCTCTGGGCCATCCAAATTTAGAAGAAGAAAAAGATTAAAGACAATTAATAACTGTGCAGTTCTTCAATCCAGCCCATCGTAAGACTAGTAGAGTCACAACACATGGTTTGTCCTTGTTGCTCGCCAAATATTAAACAAGAACATGCATCATGCGCGATACGGAACGCACCTTAGGTGGTGGTTTACTTTGATCGAACCACTGACACGAATCGAGTTCGCGGAAACTCAACAAGTATCCTGAAACGATGTACGACATGCCGTAAAATAAAAGAAGCTCGTGCCGCCGGGAGCAATCTGAATACAAGTTTCTTACGTATAATATTCACGTCGGTCAATGAAGAAAATTATTTCGATGTAATTTCTCAGTCGAGTGAGCAAGTACATCAAATTACTCTCTGACTAATCATGGATTTGAGAAAATCTTCTGAATCAGATAGGTACATATAAATCATGGTATTAAAGATATCAAGTTAATCCGGCTACTGTAAAAAGTATCAACAGTTAAATCTGACAGAGGAGTTAAACTAGATTACTGATGAATAAATATACGTAAATCAATAACACTATCTATCAAACTTGTTAAACTGTTATTCTTATGAATTGAATAGCTGATATACGTAACAGTATTTTTATTTATATTATAAAATTTAAGAACAACATTAAATTCATTCAGCTCAACATAGACAGTTTATTTATTTTAATTTGCATTGCAAAAAATGAGCAGAATTTATTAATGATTTTTGTCAATAATCAGCTACTTTAGGTACTTAATTTTATACTATTTCACGAGATTCATCTCGACTTCAATCAACCCCTTAAGTGCACAACGTATGCACTAAAAACAATTGGGGCCATTGTATCACTGTCAGGACGGACTGTGCAGGTCACCGATTAACCGCCTTTCCTATCTTCTGTATGCCTGCCAGCAAAAGATAGTTAAAGTATCCGGTTGCACGGAAACGCTTGCCGACCTTAAAATAAAAGGCTTCCTAAATCCGTACGAGTGCCAGTATTTTCTAGTTTTCAACAATTTCACGACTGTGACGATAAAATAAGATGTTAAAAAATTGATAAACGTATTACAATCTTTTTTTACTATAATTTTAGAGATTTTAATCAATTATAATCGGTACACAATATGATGTTGCAATAGTCCCCTTAGCCAATATATTGCGTGCACGCGACGCATTACTACAACTTTTCCGCACAGACAATCTCTACGCATTCAAGACAGACAGTTTAATGCAATGTTTCCTTGAACAGGATGGGAGCTGCGAGGCATACACTGTTACAAATTCTTCAACATCAGGCATTCCTGGGAAAAAGCGGCGGAATTATGCAGGAGGTAAGGCGTACTATCGATCTTATTCCCTTTTATTATAAACATCTAAGATTTGACTTTTACAAAATACAACACGGTATCTCTTTCATTAGAATGAACACACCTCAGCGTCCGAGAATGGATTAAAATGGATTGGACATTTTGTCTATTCGAATTCATATTTTAAACAGCGAAAACTTTTTTTTTTTTGGATTCAATTAGACTCAATTGGATGCAACTGGATTGAAAAACTGCGTTTCCTATTCAAAATTTTGAATTGTACAGTATTCATTATGATCACAAACGCACTGAAAAAGCTGATATTATTTTTAGATTGAAAGGTATACAGATATGCTCCATGCAATTCCTATAAATGAATAAAAACGCATTCGGATTGAAAAGGATTCATTTTTACATTTATGAATCCGTATTTCTGAAAATCTGAATCCATTTTAATCCATTTCAATCCATTCTCAGATACTGGGACGGTATCCATATACTCGTAATCCGTTTTTAGATCTGCCTTTTATTTCTGTACTATATAAATTGTAATAGAATTTTCTTTCTCGCTTTCACCGCACAAACATATACATATATCTAATCTTTAAATTTTTAAAAATCGCGCTTGAGTGTTCAGCTATAGAAACAATTCTCTTATTTTAAGATCATCTCAATTTTTCCGAGATAAAGGATATTCCATTTTTCTTATTCTTCTCGACTCTGCTGCATTGTGAGACGAGTCACCGGTGTGGTATTGATGATTTATTGCAGATACGGGAGCGAACTGATGGTGGTAGAATCGTACAACGAGAACAACATGTCGGCGAACATGATCGGCCGGCATTTGGATCGTTACTGGCTGGGTCTCGCTTCGCTCGACTACTTACGTACCAACACACTCGAATCTGCCGCGGGAATGCTCGTCTCGCAATACGCTGGTTCGTATACGCAATTCCGTTTCACTTGATTTGCAGACGTCCACATTCTGCAAGAGCAGATCCCGTAACCGAACGCATCCTGTGCAATTTCTCTTCTTCCTTTTTCTTTATCTGTCTCTTGAGTGTGACTCGCGCTCTTCGCCATTAACGATCGACTGCTTAAGAGACCTTGACCGATATTCTACATGATGCAGTTATCAAATGCGATTCTCGGAGTGAACGAAATGAAGGGAGTGGAAATTCTATAAGTTACAAATGTTCAATCCTCTCATTATCAGAATCTATTTGATATCAATTCCAAAATACGATTTTTTTTTTTCGTCTTTTTAACTTTTAGTTTTCCTACAAAATTTCATTTTCAATTATTAACTTCAGCTATACTACTTACCGTTTTGTCGCATGAATGCGACACACTGTATACGGCATACCCAACCAAACTTTGCTAAAGCCCCAACGGTCTAAGTTGGATTTTAATGCTTACATAATATATTTTCGGTCAAAATTTATATATGATACATACCTTGTTTTGTAAACTAGACGCCGAAATTGTTTTTAATCTTGAAACACATAAGTTGAACTGTGAGATAATAATAGCACAAATTAAATTGACAATTAATTTAATAATATTGTATTAATCTTTTTAATCGAAATGGTGTATATTAAGAAAGTCTGCAACATCGGATTGACTACGATATTGGCACTGTCAGCACCGCAGCCACGATAGCAAGATTCTAATCCAGCTAGCAATTCAGCAGAAAAACAAGCATCGTGTGCCGCTGGCTTTAGAACCGCTGACAGTGCCAGTCGCAGCCAATACGGTGGTAAGAATCTAATCCAGCTATAGTAATCTAGAAAGAAAACAAGCATCGTATACCGCCGCCTTAACGGTATATCAAGTAAATATTATATACATGTATAGTTTTTCGTTGTTGTTCATGTTACTTTACATAAAAAGCGTTACGAGCGTATGTTCTATGTAAAAAACTAAAAAATTTACCTTTTTTCAAAAAAGTAAAAAAGGCGCTAAGAGTATATGCTCCACGCAAAAAACTATTTATATATAATTAAATCTAAACCACGTGATCTATCTTTCAAAATGCAAGTAGTAGTATTATCCTTACAAAATTAAAAAGTAAAAGTGGTACTGTCTTTATTTTTATATACAACGAAATCTAAATATATGTCTTTGTATTCCAATTAAAGAATCTTTCTATTCCAAATATGTAGTTTAGTTTTTTGTTAAAAAAGTTATTATATCACAATTAACATATTTGTCTTCCAACCAAAGTTGTAGTAATTAGTTATTTAATCTTCCTTCAAAACATTATTATATCGCAAAATTGCGTTATCTCATTCAATTCAAGTGTTACCACAAAAAATTTAAAGAGATAACAGTACAAAATGAAAAAAATTAATTTAAATAAAAAAACTTTTTATGTAAAAGGCGTGTGCTATACGCATAATACGTAGGGCCAGTTTCTATCAGGGTCGAAAACACGGAACTCGCACACGCGGGACAGAGGCACACTTTTCCTATAACAATACTCAGACGTCGCCGTTTCTTGTCGGTTTGCTGCAAACTACAATTTATCCTCGTCTAGCGCATTTGTGTACCTTTAATAAACCGCACTATTAATTATGCTCAAGCTTAATTATGCATCGCTAGCAACAGATGTAATTACTTATAAATAAGGATATATATGTATATTGTGTGTATATATATATATATATAT